ATGAAGCCAAGTCGAGTGGTGGGGACAAAGTATGGTTTAGTGGAGGGAGTGCGCCTGGTGGACGATGGCGACTGCCAGATCGACGCTTATCTCGGAATTCCCTTCGCCAAACCTCCAATTGGCGCACTGCGTTTCAAGGTTGCTCTTCCGCTGAAATTCGTCAGAAGGGAGATGCGGGTTGGGGTAACTGACAACTAAGAAATTAACATCAAAACACTTATTGTGGAATTCATTATGCAGCACATACTTTTTAATTTCTGATGGCTTCTGCGGGACTTCCAAATGTGATGGCTTTCCGTTTTCTTCGGCACTTAGCGCAACTTGTTGCGAACAGTTACAGTTCCTCAAAATAGCTTCTGGTTGCATTTACGTCTAAAGAGTAGTGGCGAGGAAATCAAAATCGAATCGTTACATTGAGTTAGCAAAAATGTAGAAAAAACTGTCTTGTTTTCTAATAGAATTGATTGTTAAAGACAGCTGATATTCACCCCTTGTTACTAAAATCAGTTTGGATTTTTACATTTAAAAAATTTGAGAAACCGGAACCACCAGATGCTTGGGAAGGCATCAGAAAAACTGTGAAGTTTGGTCCACGCGCACCGCAAAAGGAATTCATCTGGAGTCGATGGATGGCGGCAGTGAAAACCGACGAAGACTGTTTGTACCTCAATGTTTTTTCGCCAGTACCAACTGCAGCAGCAGCGGAAAATCAGTTCAGCGTAGCTGTAAATTTTTCGTTCAGAATGGTTGAGCTAGTAAAGTATGAAAATTCTGGTGATAATGGGTGCGCATTATGAGCTAGTACTTTCGTAGTAGGTCGAAAGAGTGCTGCTGCACCGACGGTAAAACCGATCTCTCTACGATTTCTTCATTCGTTTCGATAACGAATTGGTACTGACTCTATCAGGGAGTCAAGTCCGTTATCAGCTTGCTAGTAAGATCCTCGCCTTGTTGCCCTGTGGTTGCTGGTGATACTCACTCCCAAGTGAGCTAGTCCCCGAGTGTTTCCGCTTCTGATAACGAATGCGAAGGGGATTTTGATTTTGGATTGGTATTTATTAATACCAATAGAAGTAGAAGTCTGGGGTGGCTCAAAATTGCTACATAGGCGATAAAACACATCAGTAGGTAAATCTGGGTTTGCTGAATAGTAACCGTTTATGTATTATAAGTGGACGAAGAGCTCAAAAATTATTATGCCATTCTGAAAAAAAGAAAGCTGTCCCGTGTTTTATGTGGAGTGACATATCAGTGTTTATTGCTTGTCATTGCCATAACTTCTAATGAAAAATTAAATGAAGTTTTGCATCAGAATGGTCTTGCTGTAATGGTGTTTGTGCATGGCGGTGGTTTTCTGATCGATTCTGCCTCAAAATACGGCGATATTGGAATTTGCAAGTATAATCAATTTCGTTTTTCGCTCAATTTTTGTGCTAATACATGTTGCGAAGATTGATGGAATCCGGAATGTGGAATAAATTGGGAGTGTTCCCTAATGAAATTGAAGTAATAGAATGAAGAGGCAAGTGAGGTGGCGGTTCAGGGATATTCTTTCCGCTGCTGTCGGATTTTATCCATTCTGTGGGATTGCGTTGGGGGCTCCTTTAAAAACCGCACTTTACAGCAACAAACTCAGGAACAGCATCAGTCACGCTGATAATAACCACAGAATCGCAGACAAGAAGCCCAATAACAACTGAAAAGCACTAACACTAACTCAAGAATTCAGCAGCAACATTACTCGTTTTTTCTAGATAAACCTTATTGGCCCTTACGCACTATTCAGAGGGTGACATTTTAAAATCCAGAAAAGTTGCGTGGGCCGAAAAGCGGCCATTGCTCTCCTCTCCTTAATTCGCATACCTCGTTCGAACTACTGTGAATCACGATAATCCCACGCTCTCTCTTTTCGGTCTCTTGGCCTCATTGTTACGGTTTGTAACTATTTTATTGCGATCACTTCTTTCATTATCATTGATAGTGTACAAATTTAAATTGAAATTCCATACTGTTACTACATAAGCCTTTTGGACAAATCTACCTGTTCCCCAGTCAGATAAGCCCTTCTATGACAACTTCCCAAATTGTTAAGAGAACTTGGTCCAAACTGAATTTTTGCAAAATGAAAAGTTGGGGGAAGCACGGGTTCTGTGGCTTCAGTTTCCATACTGTAGTTCAGGAAGC